AATACATGCAGTCTACAAGAAACTGGAAAAATAAAAGGCTAGCCAAAAAAGAAAGCTTGAAAAGCCGAATATATTGGGATGTTGAGAAATACCAAAAGTCAAGCCAAGTTGGATAATTAGGCAAATACCAGAAAAGCTTCTGCAGACGTTTGCATCAGAGGAGAATAAGGAAAGCCATTCAATCACTCTATATGGAGGATGTGATGGTGATTAAAGATATGATATGGCCTCCAAACGTGACTTCCAAACTAAATACATCTTCTGCCTCTGTTTTCAGCAAGAGGAAGGAATTGATCAGAGTGACAAAGAGGAGCCAGATAAAAGATTTGAGAATGGAAACGAGCAACAAGAGCTGATATGAAAGCGAAACATGAAGAGCTCATGAACTCCAAGCAAGGTGGTGATGATTGCTATCATGTAAAATTCAACTCTGATGAGTTTTAATGACTCTATCAACTTTGGCATGGTGCTTTATGTGGGAAAAATAGGCAGACAGTTCCTATAATGAAGAAAGGCAATGAGAGGATGACTGCAAAGAAGGGATAGTGTGCCACAGGGTGTTATCATAGGTGCCAAAGCCAGGTTTGTCAGGATATATGAATTTCTAGTCAAAGGGCAGAAGCAGATCATATCTGACTGTATATTTGTAAGGAGGTTACAAGCAACTTTCTTCAGGATCTAATGCTGTTAGCACAAACATCCTGAACATGGCTGTGAAATTTGTGGTGATGCAAAGCTGAGCGGCATCATCAACACAAGAAGAGGATCAAGATATCACAAGGAAGACCCTGAGGATTAGAGATGCAGAACTGGGAGGAAATGCATTGATTCGAAATGCATGCAAGGCACAAGAAACGGATGCTACATGACAGTAACTCATCTGCTTGAAGACAACCAGCCAGGCATCAGATGACTAAAGGTTCCCAGTGTAACTGTAGCCATGGAAAAGACCAGCACCATTCTGTGGTGCAGAAGAAAAGGTGTTTTCTATGGCAAAACAATGACCTCTCAAGCTGTTGTCTAAGGCCATGATGAACCACACCTGGAACATGGTGCACAAACCTCACCATCCATGTCCAAGACCAATGAACTGAAGAGGAATCAGGTGTTGAAAAAGCCTGTTAAGGTGGTCAGGGCAATGAAGAACCTTTCCTGAGAGAAAAGCTTAAAATAACCTGGCTTGTTTAGCACAGCCATGGGAAAGCAGAAATGGGAAGAAGCTGCTCTGGCCACATACATTGAAGGAATAAACACCAGGGAGGGAAAAGAGCTATTTCAGCTATTCATGTTGGCAGAAGATCAAATGAACTATAAGATGGCCAGAAATAGATATAGGCTGGCTAGCAGAAGAGAGATTCAAACCATTAAAGCAACCCAATGGTGGAACAGCTATGAAAGAAGAGCAGTGGGAGCAAAAGCCCTTCCTGCTTTGAGGCGTGTAGTTGAACATTCATGAAAGGGGTCTGTAATGTCAATGCCTATAAAGCAGGGAGATGGATTCAGGGATCCAAAGGCCCCTCTTCTCCCTATCTTCTTTTACACAGGCGTAAAATAACCTTGTCTACTATAAGCTATTTTTTACCAGCACGAGTGGCTAAGTTACAGTCCTGCCTGCTCCCTGCCTGCGTTGCTACAGTAGGAAGAAATTACATTTTAAATTTATATTGCACTTTCCGCATGGCAAGATCCACAAATATTTTGGAAGCCAGGGCCCTAATTTTCCAAAGGAGCCATTGATTTGATATGCTAAACTTTTATAAGCTCAGATCCTGATTTCCAGAGGCAGCAAGTGCCTGCATCGCTGTGTGATGGCAGATGCCTTCTTCATAGAATAGAATAGAATAGGATCATTAAGGTTGGAAAAGACCCTTAGGACCTGGGCTCTTTGAAAGAGATACACCCCCAGGGAAAAAAAAATTAAAAAAAACAGATCAGTGAGTACTTCTAAATTCATGGATGCACAGTAATAGAGTTTATCTGAAAAGAGAAAACTCTAAAAGAAACTCTATAAAAGAGATTGTGGTGAACACTTATACCAGCAGGTGCCAGGCTTGCTTTTTTTTACCACCATTTGTTCTTTAAACGCTTGATCAGAAGCTCCACCCCACGTCCAGTTTATTCCCCTACTACTAACTCTCAAGCCCAAACTTCGGAGGAAGAGACTTCTCTATGCAACCAGTTTGTCAGGGATCCTAAGCTGAAGGATACTTTCAACTTGTACATTTTTCTTTGATTTTCTAGGCATGGAGCACACTCATTGAAAGACCAACAGTCGTGCAGTTTTCTGGGGCACCTGCCTGCCATAAACATGCTGCCAAAACTTCCACATTTCTCCTAAGTGATCTTAATTACATTTTGCAGGCTCTGCTTAATGTTTGGCTATGTAATCATTTACTCATCCTTCTGCGTGACAAAGAACATTTTAAGGAATGATGCAATTGATTTTGCAAGCTCTGTATTTAGACAGTGGTGGTCAGAGGATTTATTGCCTGGAGATCACAGCAGCAGGTTCCCAGAAGGAGAAAAAGATGGAGAAGAGGGTTAAGAACTGAACTGATAACTTAATCTTTTGTCTTGGGTTGCTCTGGACTCTGGGAACACCAAGACCTTCCCCAGCAAGTCAAAGAGAAGCAACTTCTTTCTGCATACATGAAGCTGCCATCAGGAATAACGTGTGTTTCTGTCATGTAACCTTATTGCAGGGGACACGAATCCTGTAACAAGAGGAAAAGAGATGTTTCCAGTGAGATGAAGTCACATCAGCTCCCTTGGGTTAAGTGCTTGTGCTACTGCACGTGAACATCACCCATTTCTCTAAGGAAAGCATGGCTTGAAGATACTCCTAAGCACGTCTGGAGCAAGGCACTGGAGCACAGAGGAGTTGCAGGATTTGGACACAAGTGTGCAAGGAAGATCTGGTGATGTCAAAGAGGGCAGTGGCTCTGCAAAGACCAGGTTCCGCATGTCCGATAGTATTTCACCCACTACTCTTCATCATGCTGTGATGAGGTCTCCATTGACTCCGCCTGCACAGAGGGTAGGGATAAACATTATACAGAACCAAGACCCAGACCAGCAGCACCGCATTCATCTGACAAAGGTCAAGGCAGGATCATTGAAACTGTTGGGCATACCTCCCTCTCCAAGATTTTTAGCTCTGACTGGTGATTTAGGATGATGTTCTTCTGAAGGGAGACAGGGATCAATATGAAATTCTGAAAAGGAGATTTTGTGAAGAAAAGGCCCTCAACAGCTTCTGGAAAAAAATCAAAACTGTTCAAGATATCTTATGTTGGGCATCCCATAACACTACTTACTTATAAGAAAAAAAAGACCAAATCAAACCAAACAAATATAACAATAATAATAATCATCATCATCATCACCATTAACAGTCTTTATTCTAGTTCTCTAGGCCCTCAGGGCTGGAAGGAAGGATCCAGAAATTCCTCTTTTCCCCACACACTCCTCACAAGACAGCACCAGCCAAACGGGTTGGGATAAAACCATGCAGAGGAACTAAGTGGAGCTTTGTGGCTGGTTTTAGTCCCACCTGAGAATGACGTTCACTAATGCAGCTTCTCCTACCTGCCGATGGCCGTCATCATTTGCACATCGGTGATGCTGTCATCATTGGTTATGTTTCTTATGACGCCATCCATCAGCTCCAGAGGGACAAACTGGACCACACTGGCCAAGGCGTTGGATGGTGCTTCCTGCTCCTCTGCAAGACATGGATGAGTGCCAGCAATGAAGATGTTAGTTGCTGGGAAAACCAGGCACATGAGGTCATTTCTTGGCTCTAAAAGCCAAATCATTTCTGCCTACGTAAATGGAGCGGATAGTCAGCTGGTGTAAGTGAGCAAAGTGGAGTCCACACTTAGCTGTGCTAGGAGGACAATTCCCCAAATCCTACTGTAGCACATAACGAGGTTGGGTCATAGCAGATGGGCTGTTGCATAAAGCCACACGCAGCCCCAGGGGAGGAAGAGATCACAGGCACAGGAGGGTTCTTGGGCCAACCCTGGGTCCCAGATTCCCTCTGCATGCTCACTTTATACTAATTAACGCAAATAATTGCAATGGGATGTGACTGCAGGTTTGCCTGCCTGAAGCACCTTCCAAAGGATGAGGCTTTCATACAGAGGGCACTGAAAAACCCACCTCCTCGTGGGCTTAGGAATAGCTAGAGCAGGAGCTCACCTGCCAGCAGAGAGTCCAGCCTTTCATGGCACTGGTACCTCCAAAAATCTTCTGAGACCTTCTGCAATAACCTGAAGGCCCCAGAAGTTGGATAAATATCTTCTGTCCCACCTTAAGATACGACCACCCTCCAGAGAGATAGTAGGGCTTCCTACCTCTAGGTCAGTGAGAAATAACTCCTTAGTTTTGTCCATAGTTTCTGGTAAGGAGCAGGCTGTGGGGTCCCATCAAGTCAGCCATAAGAGAGTGACATTTCTAAAAGCTTTCAAGTCCAACTCTAACCAGTTGCAGATAAGGTGCCTTCCATTAAGCCCAGCTGATGCTGGAAAGTGCTGAACACACAAACTTGTGCTGCATATATTTCAACTCAGTTAACAACTCCTGTATAAAGACTCTATGTGGTTTCAGGGGATATTGTTTTCCTAGCTTAAAGCCCTGGGTAACTTTTAGGAACGCTTGATTATTATATTTCAGCTGTGGCTGCATTTCTGGAGTGGATAAGAACCATACAAGATGTCAAACTAATCAAATCTGACTTCATCAGAGCCAACATTTACATTCCCAGCCTTTTTTTTTTTTTTAATTACCTGTTGAAGAAATGATAGTGAACAGCTCCTTCAAAGAGGGCAGGATGGCTGAGGTCTGAGTCCTCCAGATCCTCTGCAGCAGACCGCTCACTTTGTTCACCTGCTCCAAAAACTCCATGATGTCCTCTTCCCCCTCAGAGGCGCACTGGAACTGCCCGATGCACCGGATCAGCTGCTGACAAAACAAGACCTGGTGTTTGCCCGTGGGAATGCATTGAGGATGCTGGGTTAAGAGTTTGCTGATCTTCGCACACTGCTTGGGGCTGGGCCTCTCGCAGACTTTCCGGAGCACCTCAATCCTCAATAAGCTGAAGATGCTGTTTGCTGATGGGCTTTCCAAGATGAACTGCAGTCCTAATTGTATATAATCAAGTACATAATGGCTTCTCTTCCCCAGAGGTCCATAGCCTTCCTGGAGGAGACTTCAGCAGGAAGCGGACGTTGAAGAACTCCTCAAATTCCTCCGGGTGGTAGTGGCCGTAGACCTCCAAAACCTCTTTCCCGATCTCTCTTTTATACTTGGTGTCCCCCGTGAGATAAAGTTTGGTAGACAGCTCCAGCATGGACCAGCATTGCTCACTGTCCATGGGCTGCTTCGCTGCCTCAATGACGCGCCTCACAAGCCCTTGCTTCACGTTGTTGGGGTATGAGGACATCACCACGGCTTCCAGTATCTTATCCATCTCTGCTCCCAGCTGCTGAAAGAGAGGAACAGAGCAGCAGGTTAGTTCAAGCAGGGTCTGCTGAGCTTTCAAGCCCAGGTTGGCAAAGGAGGTCAAAGAAGCAGAGCTTGAGAGCTATCTGGGACCACTATGAAGATGATAATTCTTGTGCCCTTTTCATGATGGCATCCAGAAAAGTTTCCACTCTGGTGATGTTTGACTGAGACTAAAGCCCCCAAACTGAAAGAACACACAAAAATACAGAACTTCTTCAGGCTAATCACACATTTGAGCATTTTTGTCTTGTAAACAACCAACTACAATCTTACACTTGACTCAGCAGCTCAGGATGGTGCCCCATGTTTCACAAAATCCAGTCCCCACTGGATACAGCCTGCCACAGATCCACGGAGAAGCTGAGTGGGGAATTAGGGCAGGCAAGGTCTTCTACTGGTGTCTGCTGGCTCAGGTGTCCTCAAGAGGCAAAGATGCTCCTGATGATTGTCTTCACATTCAGGAAAGGAGAGAAAAGCCCCGGGAAGCAGAGATGGGATCGCAGCCTCTCTGTGCAATAGCAGGGGTGTACGTTTGACATTTAACGCTGTGCTGCCAGCCACTCCGGCTGAGTGGTGCAGTCTTGGCTGCTCCCCAGGGACCTGCCGCATTTGTATGCAGGACCAAAGCGAGCAGGGAGAGAAACTGCAGACTCAGGCTAAGTTTCCCATTCGTCACAGCCCAAATTCACCAGCGATAAAGTGTTAGAGGAGAGAATGCTTAAAAAAAACCCCTAAGGATTTCCCTGGAAGAGCTCAGAACAACATTTATAACCAGGTGTTGGATGCACTACTGCACAAGAAACCCTATTACAGGGTGATAAAATTAGACAGCCAGGATTTCTTAAAATGTATTACAGGGACTATATAAAGGCTCACCCACAGCAAGTCCCCCTGGTGCGATGTGCTGCACAAATACACAGTTGGAGAATGACCCTTCCTGCCTATAGCCTGAAACAGTCCATGGGGGAGGGAGAAGGAAGGTATGAATCATCATCTTCGTTACCTAAATGAGGGATCAAGGCAGGACAGATCCATCCATGTTCTTCTGACCAGAAGAATAATCACTACCTTTCTGTTTTTCAGTCCTAATTGGTGAAATGAGGACAACACACAGCAATTCCTAGCGGGGTTGGTTGAAACTTCCTTCATTAGCACTTGGGTAGCCTTTGAAGCTTTTCAAGTGGGTAGTGTTATATGAATGAAAAATATACGTGCAGGTGGCATGTACCCCAAGTATGGTTTTCACAGATGACATCCAGAAGGGACCTCAGAGGATGCCATCCTGGGACCATCCCGTCCCTGGAGTAAGCCTGTATCTGAGCCAGAGAGTATCTTCTCTCCTGGTAGACAGCTGCTTGCTGGTGAAGAAGGAAAATCCATGCCAGATACAAACTTCAAGCTCTGGCTCACAGCTGCTTGGCTGGGAAGCCTTCCCACTCGACCAAACATCACATCTTCACATCATTGCTTCCCCCACAATCTCACAAGATGAAAAAAACCATGATATATGCATGGCTACCTCCCCATCCAGCGATGACAACAGCCTACTCTGCAATGGCTCTCCAGGCACCACCTTGGCCTTTCTGTCCCCTGCCTGTTGACTCATATGGTCCTCTGCCCATGTGCTGGATTTATTTTTCCCCATCAAGCACCACTGCTACTTCCCTGCAACAAGCTATGGCAGAGCTAACGCTCCTCATTGCATTGTTTTCACCGGCTAGAAGACATAAGCAGGACTCTTGAGGGACCAGCCTGCATTAAACCAGTAACAAATGAGGACAAGGTAAGAGGAGAGAATAAAAGCCCACAGGTAATGTCTTTTCACCTCAAACAGAAAGTGCCACAGTGACAGCAAAGGCCAAAAACCAACCTGGAGAGCAGATGGGGCTTGAAGAGAGACTAGAAATCAAGAGGAGCACTTGTCCTATCTGTAGCTCAGTGGTCACCTTGGCCATACAGAGACTGGCACAGATCTGCAGTCAAGCTGGTACTCCCTTCACCTCCTCTCTACAGCTTCACACCCTGAGCCCTGACACCCTGGACATCTGGAAAACAGATAAGGGACCAAGAGGAGACAGGAGGATCTACAGTGCTCACCAGTTGTGTCTCACTGTTACATGGTTACTTCCCTGGAGCAATCCATGCTGACCCTGGCACAGCGGTGTGGAAACACCACACAGGCAAGATGGTCAAAAAATGGCCACAGACCTTTTAGACCTAACCCCATAAATCACCACAGTCCACAGCCCACTGATGTACGCCATGTTGGGCAGCCTCGCTGCCCCTCTCAGGGGTGATGGTTGCCCACTGTTGTCCCCTGTATGACTGGCCTTTTAGCTACTTTAGCATTGCCAAACTCCACCCAAATTTTCCATGCAAAGAGTCTACTTCCGTCTGAATTTTGAGATGAAATTGCAGCTCCTGAAAGGTCTTGGTTCTTTCTCAGTCTGATCACAGAAGGGAACGTGAGGATGGGCCACCCCAGCCTTGCTGCCTGGAGTGAAACTAGGTCTTGTCTGACATAGTGTGGCGAGGACAAGGCTGAAACAAACTCCCTCCATAGTCAATAGACAAACAAGTGCCCAATGGAGAGTAAGAACTGTAAACGCAAACCATGTTCCTCATCAGGAAATGTCATAGTGTCTCATATTGACATCAGGACCTCAAAGACATGCAGGGAGAACCACCTGAGTTGACCTTGTCATGAAGGGTCCATGCTTTCCTCACCAAAGAAGGACTTTACAGTACAAGGTTGGGCTTTAGGTAACACAGTCCCACCTACACCTCTCTAACTACCCTGGCGTCAGCAGGAGGGGACAAACAAGCCCATGTTTCTGTTGTGTATCAGGGTACACCAAGCTGGTCCCTGGGTGATAGAGGCCAGACAAAGCCAGGATGGAGGATGCTAGCCAGGGATCCCCTAAGAAGAAGACATTTATAATATATATTACAATCTTAGAACTACATTAAAACAACATTCAAGTTGCTTTGTAATATGTAATAATAAATATTGCAGTCTTAAAACTACACTAAAAGAGCGTTCTACACTAAAAGATCATTCATATGTCAAAGGTTAGGAAACAAGATGGCTAATTCAACCCCAGCACAACTCCAGATGCTTTCAGAGAGATATTATCTGAAGGATCTCATATTAACTTTCCCCCCACCCACCCAGAACCTGTCTGGAGAATGAATCAGGGTTTGCAGTGAAGGAGACTGTTGTCTGGAAGATCACTGTCTCAGTTGTTGTAGAAATTGGAAGCGTGTCATAAATAACCCAGGGAACTGCAGGAGAGGGAAGGACAGTTTCATTGCTGGGCAGCCGAATGCTGCCTTGGAGATCTGGTCCCCAGCTCTCCTCTGTTTAATATTGAAATAAAGAGACTGAATATTCAGATAATCAGGCTTCTATGAGTGCTCTTGAAGTGGGACAATGTTTCCATACTTCATCTTCCTCACTTGTAAAGAGAACCGAGTTCCTGGAGCACACGAGGATGCTGTAGAAGGTCAAAGTGTTAATTATTAATCTAAAGAGCCGCTTTGAGGTTCCCATCTGTTATGTATGTCACATAACAGTGAAAAAGAAAAAGATCCCATGAAATGGCAAAACTGTTCTGCTCCCCCGGTGAACAACTGGCAGGAGCAACATGGGTAAAATCACAGAATCAGGAGGGAAGGGACCTTGGGAGGTCTCTAGTCCAACCCCTGCACAAATCTGAAATCAAACATTGTCCAATTAGGTCTTGAAAACATCCCAGGATGGAGATCATATAACCATCCTGGGCAACCTGCCCCAGTGCCTAATTAGCTCATAGTGGGAAGTTTTTCCTTATTTCCAGGTGGAAACTCTTGTTTCAGTTTACGTCTGATTTTTTTTCACATTCTCCTGCCATGCACTGCTGTGAAAAACCTGGTTCCATCTCCCGAATAACCTCCTTGTAGGTACTGCGGGGCTGCTATCAGTCAGTCCCCAGCCTTCACCAGTGCAAGGGCTTCGTCCATCCTGGGTGAGTCCATGCCGGGTTAATCCATCCCAGGTGAATCCATGCCGGGTAAGCCCATCCCAGGTGAGTCCATCCCAAGTGCAGGACTTTGTCCTTGTTGAATTCCACGAGGTTCTTGTCAGCCCCAGCCTGTCCCGGTCCTCCTGTAGCCCAGCCCTGCCCTCAAGCGTACTGACTATTCCCCCAAGTTTGGTGTCACTCACAAATTTGATGAGGTGAATTTCATCTCAACCTCCAGGTTGTTGATAAAAATATTAAAAAGAAAAGGTTCCAGGATAGTTCCAGCCAGTTTCCTACCCACTTAGCAGGCCATCCATCTAGACCATAGTTTCTCTGGTATCTTTGATACAAGGATGCTGCAGGACACCATCTCAAAAGCCTTACTTAAGTCAAAGAAGACAACATCCACTACTCTCCCCTCATCCACATATCTACCAGTCCATCCTTAAAGGCTATGGTCAAGCATAATTTACCCTTGGTAAATGAATGCTGGTCATTCCCAGTCAACTCCTCCTTCATGTGCCCAGACACAGCTTCCAAGAGGATGTGCTCTCTGATCGTCCCAAGAACGGAAGGGAGGCTGACAAAACTAGGTTCTCAGATAATCCTTGATTTTTTTGAAGATGTGCTAGAAAGGGAGATGTGCTTTGGAAGAGGGAGAGATGGGTTTCTATCTCACCCTTGCCATGCTTAGACCTACAAAACTGTCCTGAAGACACTCTCCATTCCACCTGGCAGATCAACGAGTGTTGATGGCATTAACTACCACACACTGCATTCACAAACACACACCAGGGTCCACAGTGCTTTCTGCCATGCCCCATCAAAATAAAAGGGCGGTGTAAAAGAGAGAAGCCCTGGCTCCAGACTTAAATTCCATCTAAAGCCACAAATAAAATGAAGTATTCCATCAACATTTCCAACAGGTGTGGCTGACCATGACATGTGTCCCTGCAAGGAC